ACACAGTCTTAATGTTTGATTTTGGGAAGGTCAACCCCTGCCTCTATCCCTCAACATATGGGTGACCTATTTGCTTGTAATAATATAAAGCCTTTTCATTAATTAATAAAAAAAGGGTGATATGTAGGAAGCCGGTTCCTGCATTATAATGCTGCCTGAAGACACCAAGGTGTGAATTACTTCACAGGCGCTGGGTAATCTCCATTCCTTTGATCTCTGCCTATCCCGTGGCTCATTTTTGCCTGAGGAGCTGAAGCCATTCATAGGGTAATACGTCCCAGGCGGCTGGTCAGCCTTTTATATAGGGATGGTTTTCTTAGTTCAATGTCTCTGCTTAGTCTCTGCTTAGTCTCTGCTCAGTCTAATGCATTAAAGCTTGTCTGCAGAAGGATCCGAGTGTCCTGCGTGTGTTTCTTGCTGGCGAGGAATACAGAGCGGGCGCGGGACAGTACAGCTCTTCTAGAAGACCTGAGTTTGATTCCCAGCACCCACATCAGGGGGCTCACAATAGCCTGTAACTCTGGCTTGAGGGGGACCTGATACCTATGGCCTCTGTAGCCACCTACACTTGCATGTACACACACACACACACACACCAGCATGCGCATATGCATGTAATTAATAAGGGGCTAGAGACATGGCTCGGTGGTTAAGAGTACTTGTTGCCTTGTTGCTCTTGTAAATGACCTGAATTTGGTTCCCAGTACCCACTTGGTGGTTCACAGCCATCTATAATTTCATCTGGCATTCTCTTCTGACCTCCTTGGGTACCAGGTATGTACCTGGTATATGTACATACACTCAGGCAAAACAGTCATACACATAGGATAGAATAGATCTTTTTTATAAAGGGTAGATGATGGATGGTTGTATGACAGATGGATGATTGATAGTGGACAGATGGGGCAGATGAGGATACATGACAGACAGATGGAAGATGGATAGGTGGGTAAAAGACAGATGGAGGATGGATGGATGTTAGGTGGATTCAATGCCTTTTTCTGGGGTGCTAACCCTCCTCTGCAACATGAAAGTGTTTGACCTCCTAATCCCTAAGGCATTTGAGTGACTTCCCCGATTTTCACACTCTGTATTACCAGGGCCTGCAGGTCCTGAGAATCACGAAGCATCCCTTCAGCGGCAATCATTCGTCCTGTCAGAGTCATCATGAGTTGCCGTGCCTTGGAGCTGGAACATTTAAACTGGTCCACAAGAATGGGCTGGATGTTTTCCATCTGCTTCCAGAAAGCTCCCATCTGTGAAATGAGCATGAGAAACAGGCAATGGGGAAATCTTATTCAAGAAAAGAGCTCTGGACAGTGTCTGGGAGTTGCAGCTCATCCCTTACCCCCACCAGACTCTCAACCCTTCTGCAATTGAAGGGGGTTTATCTTGGCAGCGATTGTGTCCTATGGTAGACCCTCCACTCTGCCCCAGATGCTGTGCACATATTACAGAGGTGTTTTCAGCAAACACAGGCACTGCTGCCAATAAGAAATTAGGAGCACCGCTTAAGGATTCCAGATAGGTCACAATTACTCCTTGGGAGCATGAGAAGTGAGACAATGAGATCCTGTGAGTTCCAGGATCTCTCCAAGGGATTAAATATGGCCTAAAAATAAAAACTCAGGAGGCCACTAACTATTAGTCATCGTTCCAGAAGTACAAAAGAGCCAAATGGCAGAGAAGATGCTGACCGTGAAATCATTCTGCTTTTGAAATGCAGCTTCCCACGCCACATCTTATCAGGACTAGAGTAAGCAATAGTCAGTTCATGGCTTTAGATGTTGGGGGCTTCAAAGTGTGATAACATGGCCTATCTAAACTTCAGCATCAAGGGTGCCAGGAACTCTGGTGGCTGTCCTTCCTGGTATGCAGCCTGTATATCATCTGTGTGCCTTTTTTTGCTTACTTCTGAGTAGAACATGCCCTGAGGCAAAGAAAAGGGACTGGTCAAAACCCAGTTGTCACAGAATGTGACTGTCAGGCTATATTTGGTTCATATCCCTTTAGGTCCACATTGATCATGAATGTGGTATCCTGTGGGCTGATGTCCCAGAGTGAATAAAAAGGAGAAAGAGAAGGGAGCGCCAACATTAACTGTTGATACAATGTAACCAGCTGCTTCATATTCCTGAAACCACAGCTTCCCCTCTATGGAAGATATCCCTCTGGATTGTAAGCACCTTAAGGTGCTTGGCAGGTATTTGGTCACAGAGATGAGAAAAGTAACTCTGCTCCTTGAATGAATGTCCCCAATAGCTTCAGGAATTTAAATATTGGGTTCCCAGTTGGCACTGTTTGGGGAGGCTTAGGAGGTGTGGCCTTGTACTGCTGGAGGGCTTTGAGAGTTTAAAGACTTGTGCCAATTTTAGTTCTCTATCTCTGCTCCACCCTGTGGTTCAGGATTCGAACCCTCAGCTTCTTGCTCCTGCAGTCATGCCTTCACTTAGCCATCAAGGATTCTGACCCTCTGAAACTGGAAGCCCAAATAAACTCTTCTTTCTTTAAGTTGCCTTCTTAGCTTTCCCTGGCTTGTGTCTGCTCACATATGGGTCAGCATCCCTTCTCACTGGCCTCCCTATGGCCCTCTACAGAGCCTTTTCAGATCCTGAAAGGAAAGGACATGCCCCTCAATCATTCTCAGCTTCCCCTAGCACCCTTCCATAGGGAGCCAGGTGGTCCTCCTTGCTCACTGTAGCTCTCCTCAAGTCTCTTGGGAAAGGCCACGCTTTAGCAAATCTCAATTCCCCCTGCCCAGAATAAGAGGTGCCAAGGGCACATCTGCTTGCTCCAATGAGTCAAAAAGAGAAATGAGTGTTCCAAGGGAGCCCACTTCTGTGGCATGAGACGCATGTTTCCTGACACTGAGGGCTGGAAATGCTCATAGAATCCACTCGACTGTGGAGTGGTAGTGACACTGAGGATTTATAGGAATCATTGCTTTCAGTGATAATAACAGCCAGCTGAAAATGTAAATGGATAAAAACTTCCTTCTGTAAATCCCCACTCTCTAACTATACCTTCTCTGCTACTGAACATCAGAAACTGGGTCTGTGCCTTGGGATAGGACATGACAGTGTCACCTCTTCAATCTCACCAATGTTGCAGAAACCAAGATCCCCATGGGAAGAGAGCTCCACACCTACATTGTCTATGAGTTGCTCCGAGAGCTCTCTCTCCTTCCTCTCCACATCTGCCAGGGAGACATAGCCAGAATCACCGGTGCCCAACATTTCTGTGTTCGCCAATCTGGCCTGAAGTCCCTTTTCTAACTCCTCCAAATCCTGGGGTGAGGGAGGAGAACAAGTAAACAATGAAAAACTCATAAAACTCAAATTCTAGAATAAATGTTCTTACATTTTTGACAAATATTTTTATAAAAATATATCTTAACAATAATAAGAAGTTCTGGGCACAACCTTCAGGTTTAATGCTGGGCCGAAGTGACGGCTCTGCAAGTGAAAGCAATTGCTGTGTAAGCTAGAAATCTGAGTTTCTTCACCCACACCCACACCGTGCATTCATACACATAAAGTTAAAATGTATTTAAGGCAGAAGAGTAAAAACTCTTTTACTTCATTAAACATTGGACATCAAGAATTAAGGTTGATTTTCTTCTATATCCTCTGTCCTCGTGAAACTATAGTACTTAGCAAACAATCGAATCATGTCTTTCAGCCATTACAAACTCATCGAAAATGCTGTGTGGAGGGGTGGGAGAGATGGCTCAGAGGTTAAGAGCACCGACTGCTCTTCCAGAGGTCCTGAGTTCAATTCCCAGAACCCACATGGTGACTCACAACCATCTGTAATGAGATCTGGTGTCCCCTTTTGGTGTGCAGATATACATGGAAACAGAATGTTGTATACATAATAAATAAATAAATAAAATCTTTAAAAAAATGCTGTGTGTTCTTGGGGCTGGGCAGGAATATCCCTTCTTCACTCATAAAGTTTCCCTGGGGAAGGATTATACACTACACCTCAAGGAGGAAGTGGTATTTGGTAGGTTCAAGAGTAGGAAGTGCAGCTTAGCTTGCCGAGCTTCTTTCTCTCTGGGACACCATCTTCATAAAGCCATTGTTCCAGTGTGGTCTCAGCACAGTGAACAGGTAGCAGTCCCGGCTTCTGTGGGGAGTCACATGTGGTCCAGCTCTTCTTGTGATTAGGTGGGCAACTGTGCCAGTTCTTGGATTCAATGTTAGGAAGCAACATCTCCAGGCTGACAGCATTTCTAGATCTGCAGCTCACTCCATACTAGGAAGGAAGGATCACGGGGTACTCTGTGTGGCTCCTTCAAAGCCCAGCATGGAGAGGAAGAATGGTTCTTGCTTCTCTGGAGCTGTGGGGTCATCTTCTTCAGGAGATAGCTATAATGATGAGACTACTCACCTATAGATGCCTCCTACTGAGACTACTGACCTACCTTCCTTCGTGTACCTAAGAAATATGCTGAGGTTCTGGGTTTCTGTAGGAGTAGTTGTCCTCCATCTGAGTGAGCATATTCCCACCTGATCCCAGCTTTCCTGTATGCGTGTCTGTCCTTTCTTCATCCCTTAGCTAGCCTTAGTCAAGGTTCCAGGACCCAAAATGCAGGAGGTCACTCCAAGTGTTCTTTTTACATATGCACATACATTTTCACGTGAGGTCACACTGCATTCAAATGTGTATTATAAAAACCATTTTATGCATTAAAGGAAAATAATTTTTGCATGACGTGATATGCTTTATTATAAACAATTTATTGGATTAGCATGAGATATAGGCTAACGACTTACATGCTCTTGTTTTGTAAGGATCTTCTGGTATAATTCATCATCAGGCTTCTTTTTAGGAAAAAGGTCCAGGAGGCATGCTCTAAGAATCTGAATGAACATCTGTTGGCAGAAGGGAAGTGATGAGAGAAACATCTGAGAAGTGCCCATCCTCTGACATAGTTATTGCTGAACAAAAGGATCCATATATAAAGAGATTATATATCATGACAATGGTCTGTGCTGGACCAGGTTTTATGAGGGTTCAAAAAAATGTTTCTCACCTTCCTCTCTTTCTTCTCCCTCCATTGACCCTCCTGTCCTTACACAACTTCCTTAGTACCTACATTGCACAGAGCCCTTCATGACACGTATTTCCACATGGAGCCTTGCTTCCTTGTAAGAGAGTTAGAGATGCCTCTAAAGAATTGGGATGTGCAGAGCCTTCCAAGACTCCTGTCTCCACAAGAGATGCTCCATACACCAAGAAGGGCCCTTCCAGAATGGGGAATCCCCAGGGAATCCTAGAGAGAACCATCTCCACGGTGCCTAGCCACTCCACTACAGGAGTGTGTTAGCCAGGTATCATCACGCACCCCACTGCGGTGAACATTCACACAGGGTCTGGTGCCAGCATGGTCTCTCTGGGATAGATACCCAGGGAAGAGCCACTGGTCCTCTGGGCATCACATGCTTAGTTTTCTAAGAAGTGGTCATACAGTTTTCTACACTCATTGTGTGCAGTGTCTGATCGCCCCACAGCCTCAGCTTGTGTGCTGCTGCTGTTAACGTAGCTACTGGCTTAGTGTCTTTCCCTCACACAGTGCTCTCCCTACCCTGTGTCTCAGCAGATGCGCCTGAGCATGAGCTCATCTCTAGATGGCTCCTGCCCCAGGTAAATGGGAAGCCATGTCCTATCAGCAGCAATGGATGTTTCATCACACCCAGTGCCCAGACCTCACCTCATCAATCCCCTGTTTCCATATCTGTTTCCACCCAGGTCTGCGCCCTTCACACATCTGGGGCTCTGTGCACACAGGGAGTCTCATATCCCTCTCTGGTTCCCAGGTCAGGAAGAGAAAGCAAATGACTCCACCTACCAGGTGCTTCTCCCGTCTCAGTGCTGTGTCTACCCGAAGCAGGTCTTTCAAGTGAAGGCTGCAAACACATAGGTCAATATCCGCACTGAACCACCGGAGAGAAGCAGACAGGGGTTAAAGGGTAAGAAGCCAGGATGAGGAAAGAACACTGGTCTCAGCTTGGTCTTTGTGGTGTCTCTGTCCCCTAGCTCATGTTCCTCACATACACTCAGGATTAGAGAAGTCCACACTGCTGCTGGAAGCCTCAACTGAGTGTAAGGACACAGCTTGCAGGGACACTGGAGACAAATTCATCCAGAGAGAGAAAGCCAGAGGAGCAGACTCAGTATGTCTTCGTTAAAACCTGTCACTTCTGCCACCACAGACCACCTTTCCTCAGCACAGACAGACAAGGAAGTGACTCTTTTTTTAAATTTTCTATTTTTTGTTAGTTCGAATTAGAAACAAGCTTGCTTCACATGTCAATCCCTGCTCCCTCTCCCTCCCCTCCTCCCCCCCATCCTCCACCCTATCTCCCCTCTGCTCCCCAGGGAGGGTAAGGCCCTCCATGGGGATCCCCAAAGTCTGTCATATCATCCTGAGCAGGGCCTAGGCCCTCCCCCATGTGTCCAGGCTGAGAGGGCATCCCTCCATGTGGGATGGGCTCCCGAAGTCCTTTCATACGCCAGGGATAAATACTGATCTACTACCAGAGGCCCCATAGAGTGCCGAGGCCTCCTCACTGATATCCACGTCAGGGGTTGGGATCAGTCCCATGCTGGCCTCCCAGCTATCAGTCCAGGGTCCATGAGCTCCCTCTTGTTCAGGTCAGCTGTTTCTGTGGTTTTCACCAGCTTGGTCTTGACCTCTTTGCTCATAACTTCTCCGAGAGCAGAGGACCACAGCTATTAAGCACAGACAAGGGTAGCCTTGGGGACACTTTTCTTTCTCACAAACAAATGCATTTGAATTAAAACAGCCATCCACACAATTCTGAAGTTTATAAGTGCAAATGCGAGAATGTGGTCCATGCTGGTCTCTCTCAGCCCAGGGACATCTTCCCTGGCAACAGGCTCCAAGTCCCTCATTCTTGGGCCACTTGTTGTGGTGGTTTGAATGAGAATACTTGGACCCCAATTGGTGGAACTGTTTGTGAAGGATTAGAAGATGCATTCTAATTCTAATTCTCCCTGTTGGGGGAGGTGTGTCACCAGGAGCACACTTAGAGTTTCAAAAGCCAAATCATTCCTAGCTACTTCTCTCTCTGCCTCCTACCTGCAGACAAGGATGTAAATCTATTGTTCCAGTTGTCGTACCTGCCTGGCATGCTTGCAACCACAGCAGTCATGGACTCTAATCCTCTGGAACTATAAGGTCCAATGAACTCTTCTATAAGTTGCCTTGATCATATATAATTGAATAATAATAGAAAAGTAACTAAGGCATCCAGAGATTCCTGGAACTTCAGGACACAGAGACCTGATGACAGCTGCCAATCATAACCCCTGTGAGAGGACCACAAAGTGAGGCTAGTGATATGGCACCCGAACCTCAGAGATAAAGTGGCTTATCACTCAAACCTGACTTATCACTCACTGTGGTGTGAACTTGGCAGCCTCTCTGTGTCTTTTTACAAAGTAGGGGAAATATTGCCTGATGTTTATGGATCACCAATCCGGTCCAATTCCCTTTGCCATGCAACAGAGTTATAGCAATGAGGAACAGAGGTCAGGCCCTCAAGTTCCTTGGATAATTTTTGCAGGTGCTGCAAGCTTTGCCCAAACTCCCAGGGTGTTGGCTGCTCTATAATTTATGGAATGCATCAGTATTTAAACACCTCTCTCCTGTAACCACTCTCCAGGGCTCAGGTTGACTTTGTAACCCCAATATTGATCCACACCATGTGGCCAACGGTAAAAGTACCTGGTCCCCAGCTCTGACATTTTGCTTCTGTATGTCCACAGCTGAGTCATTTGACTTTTCTGGACCTTTTCCTCCTTTGCATCACCCACTGTGAATTTCAGTATCCTGTGATTGCTCCTTACCTCTCACAGACCAGAACCTCAGGGAAGCTGCCCACCTGGAGGAAGGCACAGTGGAGGAGCCTGTCGTCACTGTAGGCTGAGTGCATGCTGGAAGAGGAGCTGCCATCCTCCTTGCCAGCCTGGCTCAGGCTGCCCAAGCTGCTGGCTGGTGAGGCCTCTGCTGGCTGGTGGGGTAGGTGGGGCAGAATGGCTGCTGCCTGGGTCAGGTTTTCATGCAGCGACGGGTGGGAGGATCCATCAGCCAGAGGCTGGAAACAGAAGGAGACCTGATTGAGTTGACCATTGGAGTGAGTGCACACAGACCAAGCTTATGCCCCAGGTCCATGGTCAAACCCACACCCGAGGGTCAGAATCATGGCTCATCTGTTCCCACACTTGTTTCCATGAGGCCAGCCCTCTGTACCAGACTCCTACTCTAGAGCCATCAGACTCTGTCCCTAAACACCTCGGTACTCAGTGCCCCCATCTGCCTAGTCCATGATGTCTGCTGGACATCCCTTGTCTCTTCTATGGCTGGCTCAACTCCAGGAGCCCCTTTGACTATGTGTGCTAAGCACCTGCCCTGATGAAGGTCATTCTTGTCACAGCCTTGATGGCTCCCACTGCCCTCTCACAGGCCCGTGTCTCCCAACTAAGCCCAATGTGACACTTGTCACAGTCTGGTCCCTGGAACAACTGCAAGTGCTCAGTTCTCTGTTGAGCCCTGTCACCTGCTGCCGAGCCTATACAGACTAAGCTGGCCCCTGCTCCAGACCTCCTCATGTCCTGCTTCTGGGCCTTTCTAGATTGAGCTGTCCTGTTGGGATCTGCCTTTGCTGGGGCTTGCCTTCCTTGAGGTCTCCTGGGTTCCTGAGGTCCCTGGCCATTTCTGTGTGGCGGGTTGCACCCCCTTGGGCTGCTCAGCTAGCCACAGCCATATTGATATACATGTACCTTTCATACACCTGACAGACAGCAAGGAGCTGAGTAAGCTTTTCACAATGTGCTGGGGAACATACCAGTCAGGCATAAATGTAACTGGCCTAGCAGACATTTAGATTTCTCCCAATCTAATCCCCACTGTGTGTGTGTGTGTGGGGGGATTAGATCTCTTTACTTCTCTTCCCAGTGTGACTACATTGAATACATCTCCTTTCTCTGTTTTTTACTACTGTTGTCTCTTTAACTGGCTTCCTGAGGATGGGTAAGCTTAGTTGTTGGCCTACAAGGGCCCAGGCTCTGACCCTAACAACTCCAGCAGCACAACCAGATGCTGCTCATCATAAGACTTCCACAGGGAGAGAGTCTGGGAACACCCTCTGGTGCAGGAAGTCGCTGACTGAGCAAACCATGGTTCTGAACCCTGCCACCCACTGTCTTGCCTGAAGTCCAAACATCTGGTGAGGCAGAAGCACCCCCTCCCACATTTCACAGCACAGCAAGAAAGGGCCATGCAGGAAAGGCTGAGTCAGGAGTCAGAATGGCACCCTAGAGACTCAGAGCATATCTTGCTGAGTGTCAGGATGCCAGTCCTTTCCCAAAGACTCTTGGCCAGGACACTTTCCATAGGGTACCTCACGGGCTCAGCTCCTCCCTCTGATCGGCTGCTTTTTGCATAAATACTCCAGCCAATGGAACCTGTTCACAGTCATGCTGACAATAGTGGAGGGTGGAGCTTTTCTCCTCCTGCACATGACCTTGAACAGTCCATTCACCTTCTGGAAATGCCACAAATTGGAAATGCCAATGGTGTGACAATCCCTTAGCCCCATATAAGTGTCTAAGAAGTATAGTGTCTGGCACTAGCCCTGAGCCATATGGATAGAGATAGAAGTTGAGGTCTGAGGTACCCAAAGGGAGGATAGTATCTCACTGTTTGGTAGCTGTCTGTCATCCTTGAAGATCAAGCAGCTGTAATTCCTGATCTTTTTGTGGTCCCCATGTGCCCACACAGAATGGGTCAGCTTTCATGTTTTGATCTATCACACACCAAACTTTCAGGTAGGGTAGAAACCCACATCTGATCCTTATTCTCCCAGGGATCCCTGCACATAATGGAGTAAACTTCAGCGCTAAGATGGAACTTGGAGTGCTCACCCGGAACTTCTGGTTGATGGGATAGACAACCCTGGCTTTCAGTGCAAATGCTGTGATGTTACCGCTCAAGGATGGCTCACATTCCTGCAAAGAAAAGAGAGTGAGTAACCCAGTGAGTTTTCTGCCGTGTTAAGGACAGATGGTCATGAGTCTCTAAAATGTCACATTCCACCTGCAACAGTGGATAGAACCATGACAGGCCGGTTTGGATCCTTGCAAGAAGGAAGGGTGGGTAGGGTGGTGGATTGGTGGTGGATGTAGGAATAAACAGAAGAATTGAGGAATGGATGGGCACATGGATGGATAAAATGGTGGCTCTACCAGTGGGCAAGCAGAGAATAGGTGAAAGGACAGATGGAGGATGGATGTATGAATGTGTATTACATAATGTATGAATGTATTGATGAAGGAAGACATGAATATATGGATGTATATATGTGTCATAGTAATTTTTCTTTTACTACAATAAATGCCATGACCAAAGCAACTTGGGGAGGAAAGGGTCAACTTTACCTCAAATATTACATCCCATCTTTGAGAGATGTCAGGGAAAGAACTGATGCAGAAATCCTGAAGGAACACTACTTACTGCCTTGCTTTACAAGGTTTGATCATTCTGCTTTGTTATACACCCCAGGATCCTGCCAGGATTATTACCACCTACTATGGGCTTGCCCTCCCACATCAATTACCAGTTAAGAAAATGCCCCACAGGCTTGCCCACTGGCCAATCTGGTAGGGTGATTTTCTCAGTGGAGGGTTCTGTTTCCCAGATGGCTCTAGCTAATATAAAACTAGACAGCACAGTATGTATAGGAAGGTAGATAAGTGGATGGAGCATGAACTTATGCATAGATACGTGAAGTATGGATGGATGAATAGATGGAATAATTTAATGAATGAGCAGATTTGTAGATGGGTGGATTCATGAAGAGATGAATGAATGGGTGAGTGGGTAAATGGATGTGTGGATGGATGGACGAATGGACAGACTGATAGATGGGTGGCTGTATATATGTATGGTGGGTGGCTAGATGGACAAATAGATGGGTACATAGACAAATACTTGGACAGACAGACACTATCACTTAACTCCGATTCTTTGGCTTTGAAGCAATTAGGCTTTTAATACCTTGAGACAGATTAATAAGTATCTCCTGAAGGACTATGGCCCACCTTCAGTGGGAAAAACAACCACATGAAGTATCTGAGCTTTGAGGAATTAGACCTCACATTTCACAGTGCAGCAAGGTCGCTGTAGCTGACAATTCATATATTTCAGAGCAACTGGATGAGTCTGAACTTTCCTAACTCACAGAGGTGACGACGTGAAGGTACCCATGTCACATGTTACATGTATAGTGTTAACACTGCACTCCACTGATGCAGATCATTATATGTGCCAATTAAAATGTAAAGTGTGGCACTGCAGGGTATAAACACACAGGCAATATTCACACAAAGTTTTGGAATAGAACCTTAAACAAGAAAGGAATGGTTAGGTCAGCCTCAGTCTGACGATATAATCAACAGATGGAGGGTGTAATACTCAAGGATAAGAGGCATGAAGCTTCCATCTGACTTCCTGGGCCTGAGAAGACACTAAGAACTGGGCAGCTGTAGTGCTGGTGTTCACCAGCCACTCAGAGCCCAGTAGGCATTGCCTCCCTGAGAAGCCACCTCTGATGCTGTGGGAGGGACCAAAACATTGCTCACTCTGTTCCCTGGCATGATCTGTACTTCTTCTGAGGGTTTTACTACATTGTGCAGGCTGGCTCTGAACTTAAGATCTGCCTCAGCCTCCAAGCAGCTGGGATTATAGAGCATACCAGGTCTGGTGATCCTCTTCAGTTTAAAGCTTTGTGTAACAGAGGTGGAAGGAAAGGAGAGGAAAAGGGCGAAATGAGAGGAAGGCATGGTTTCTCTACCCAATAGAGGGCAAAGACACACTGCAGAAGTGTGAAAGACAATGAAAGGGACATGTATTCCTGTGCAGGAGCAGGCAGAGTTGGGATGCCTGGGGATGCAGGCATGAGTGAAAGCCTGGGTGGGACCACTGGAATAGCCCTGACTGTGTGAAGCTCTACTTGCAAGGATGCCAGTGTGGCCACCTGTGTGGCTACCTGTATCCTGCAGGACTTGATGGAGGCCTGCCCTGCTTTGGCTGAGAGATGGAGGACACTAGAGCCCTAGGCATGTGGAGGCAATGACAGGCAGCTTCTGCCACCTGGAAAGGATCCATAGGCCTCAGCTTTTCACAGCTCTCCTCACTGGATCTAGATGCTCCAAATCTGATGGTTTCCCTCAGGAGATGCAGTGATCCAGGAAATGGATTGCTGTGCAAAAGTTACAAGGTAGAAGAACTTCAGCCAAAACAAGGCAGTCGTTCAGAGAATTGGTGAAGATGTCATTGTGAGGAGAGAAAAGCTGTTTCCCCCTCAGCCCTAAGGTGTTCTTTTTGGTTCTGCACAGTCACCTCCATGGTTCACATCCCTCCTCTTTATTAGCAAAGGCAAAAAAAAAAAAAAGATGCAGGCTGTGGGGCAGCAAGCCTCTGAAACCTTCTGGAAGTTTCTGCGTGTTTTAACCATCAGGAGCTATTCATTAAACAGAATTCATCTAAGTAGCAGCAGGACATATCACAAGGCTGAGGTTCTCTGCACAGAAGAGTTGGCTGGACTCACCAGGCAGAAACACGGCTGCCCAGGCAGATATTTAACTCAGCTCTGGGCAATCATTAGCCTGGTAATGGGCACCTGCCAGGCACTGAGGGAGGTAGCAGGTTAAACCTCACTGGGCCCAAGAAAAATGATGTAATCTTCCACCATTGCAATGTTGATGGAGTACCTTCTGAGACAGGGATGCTGGCAGCACCCTGGGGACCCTGTGGGGGATCTCTGTGACTCTCACAGTGAGGCACCTGAGGCTCAGACAGGCTATGTTTCCTGCCCAATACCACACAGCAAATATACAGCAGAGCTGGGATTGGTCCACACTGGGCCCCGAGGCTAGTGTTGTTTCCATGGAATCCAAAGCCAACTTACATGTGAATGAGGGTTTTTGTTTGTTTGTTTTTATTTTTAAACAGTTTTGTTGCTCTAAAATATATAAATTGTGTAATATGTAATCAACGGTCTTCAGTGTTTCCCCAATGTTGGAAGTATCACACAGGCAATTTCAGAATGGCTCCTTGCAGCAGAGAAGCCCTGTTCTCTGATTGTCCACTTGTCTCTTCCCTGGCAACCACTCAGCTACTTCCTGTCCACATAAATTTCCCATGCATAGGATCCTACTTGTTTCTGTGCATGACTGATTTGGGGTCCTACTTGGTGCATGACTGACTTCCTTCACTTTGGATAAGAGTGCATATCAGTATCACGCTCCTTTTCACAACCAATAACCTTCACCATGGACAGATCACAATTCTGTTTTTGTTTAGTTTGAGTCTTGATTTTCAATATGTAACCCAGGTCAGGCTTCAGTTCACAATCCTCCTGCCTCAGCTAGTGCTGAGAATATAGGTGTAACCCACTGTGCCTGGCTGACAACATTCTGTTCATGCATTTCTTAGTTGTTGGTCATTTATGTTGTTTCCAATCTGGCTGTTGTGGACTGAGCTGGACATCTGTGTACAAGCATTTGTGTGGACATAGTTTTCCTGTCTGTGAGTGGAATTTTAATGGTATGTGGGGAGGGGGAAAGGCAGTCAAGAGAGATGAAGGAAAAGAGAAAGACAGAGATGCCACACACACACACAGATTCTCACACACATTGTCCCAGGGATGCAGAGGGTCACCCAGGCAGACAAGGATGAAAAGCTCTCCACAGAGACACAAATAGAGACACAGAGAAAAAGAGACATGAGAGAAAGGAATCCCAGCAAGGCTCTTTCCTCACCTCCCAGCCTCTCTGAAACTCTGAGGTACAGGTTCTGCAGGCTAGGCCCCCCAGGAAAGAAGTATGATCACTGGAATCTTTGGGAGGTACGGGCCATAGGCAGCTTGGGACAACAAGCTGCTATTCTGCTTTGGTTCCTAGCCTTTGGAGATGCAAATCCAGGTTTGCATCAAATCTGAAGCACTCTGTATGGCCAGTAGAGGATCCCAAACAGGGAGGAATCTGAGGGACAAGGGAAGGTAGAAAGGGGGAGGGAAGCAGTTTGCTCTGCCAGAGCCAGACAGATCTAGGGACACGTTTGAACTTGGCCGCTCCCCAGTTTTAGGACCCAGAAAGTGATCTGTCTTTGAGGCTCAGTTTCCTCATCAGATTATGAAAACAAAAAGGGAAACTGAAGAGAGTTAGGAGGACTCAAATCCACCAGACCAATGACCCTGCCTCGACTTAAAGTATGCATTATTCCCTGCGGCACCAGAGAATGCCAACCGATGTCCCTTTGTCCCTACTGAAGGAGCCTTGCCATGCTCCATGGGCCAACTGAAGCTGGATAGAGAAGACCCTGGACAGGGGAGAATTCATCCTCTAGGATTGGTGCCAGGCTCCCAGCTTTCCCTTGGCTGCCTGTTTACTTAGAGTAACGAAATTTGGTTAGAGAATAGAACTTGGGTTCGACTGATAGCAGCTGGACTCTGATAACAATCAGTCTATCAGCCAAACACTCAGAAAGTACTGAGTGGCTATTAGTGGTATGCTCATATTGATTCCCCCACTGGCTAGGAAAGGGGAAAAGTGTGGCTATGCAAAGAAATGGGTAAATGTTGTTAGCAGGGTTTTGTGGGAATTGAGACACACTAAACTCCAGTCATCCCACAGTCATGAAACCCTACCAGAGTAGTTTCTTGAATAAGTGTGACCAGAGACAAACACTAGAGAGCTTTCTGGGGTTTTGGGACTTTAATTAAGAGGGGACCATACCTTTGTCAAAAACTCATCCAATGCCTTTTACTATTCATACATGACAATCCTGGGAAATAAATCAGACAGTGTCTTGTAGCTTGACACCTTAGCTTCTGGAAGACAGTCCCACACCCAGCATGTGTCCACAGAAGCACACAGGCTCAGACTAACCTCAGGAGCATCCTCATCCCGGAAAGTTGTTTCTCTCTGGCGTCTCCTGACCTGGGAGCCAGTATCTGGCAGGCTCTGTGCAGTGGGCTCTGAACTCCTGAGCAGATGTTGAGTGTCATCTTTCTGAAACCCCAAAGGGGTGGAGAGAAACCAGATGCTGAAGTCAATTAGCCTTGTCCATCCCCCTGAAATTTAGCCCAACAGTCATCTCTGTTCACCATGTGCCCTTCCTGCCTCCTTCACCCATCAGGCATTTTTTAAAACCACCCAGGTCACCCTGGTCATCTTTCTAAGAAATCCCCTCGGGTACATATCTCAGTTGTCCCCAAGTGGAGCCTTGTCCCAAGAGTGGCCACACTGGGAGCAAAGCTTGCTTTGTTTCTCAGTTTCTGTTCTACGTTCATTTCTGTAGCTGTGATGAGATACTTGATAGAAGCAATTGCACCCGCATGCATTCATTTCTCTCTGCTCTTGACTGTCATGTGACAAGCTGTGCATGCATGCATTCATTTCTCTCTGCTCTTGATTGTCATGTGACTAGCTGCTTCAGGTTCCCGCCTTGACTCCTGTACGGTGAGGGACTGACCTGGAGTTGTAAGCTAAAAAGGATCCTCTTTCTCCCTAAGTTGCTTGCTGTAGGGTTTATCTCATCATAGCAAAAGACATGAAACCAGAACAGAAACTGCAGTCCCTGAGGGTTATCCCTTTGCAGGAGATGTGCAAGTAGTATTTTCCCTGCTGTTCTCAGTAAAGCTACTGAGTGATTTTTTAAAATAATGACCTTGGTTACCTTCAACAGAGGAGTGATTTCTACTATGAATTACAGTCTGTAGACGTGCTATTTGCAACTCCACCACTTGGCAGATGTCAACATAGATATTCACCGGTATCATAGCTATTCATGGACATGTGAGCAGCAGAAGGCACCCATGTGCTTATCTGGATGGATGTGAGCACAGAGAGGCCTGCTTCACCTTTCCTATATCCTTGTCAAGTAAACTTCCCTGTTGTAGCTGTGTGTCCAGCTTTCTCCAGTTTTGTTTCCTGTTCCTGAGGGGTTGTGATCCTGTCTAGAATTTTGAAGTACTATAGGGCCATGGTGTACCCGCCAGAGGAGATCCTTGTGACAGAGGACCTGCCCCTGGCTAGAATTCTGGGGTTCTTTACTGTGAGTCCACAGAGAGAATTAGCAATAGGTAGCCAGTGAGACTTCTTTAAACAAACACAGGTCACTCTTAAAGGTGGACTGATAGAAACAAAGGCTCAAGGGACTCCAGGCAGTATCCTCCAGGCAAAGTTTTAGTGCTCACCTGTTCAGAGCAGGCATGAGGACACAGTTGAATTGCCAGGACCATGTTAAAAAGCCAGGTATGGGGGTGTACACTCTCAATCCCAGTGCAGGGAGGTAGGACTCAGGTGGCCAGCCAGCCTAGCCTACTTGCTAAGTTCTAGGCAAGTGAGAGACTCTATTTCCAAAAAACAAGGTGAATAGTGTCTTAGGAATGACACCAAGTTTGACCTCTGGCCTCGACATAAGCACACACATGTGCATAGACACCTGCATGCATACATGTACCTGCACACACAGGAACATTTACACACAACATCACGGGGGCCAGCAGTAGAGTTCAGTGGGTAAAGGCAGTTGCCACCAAGGTTGATGACCTAAGGACTGTCTTCTGAGTCCACGTGGTGGAAGAAGAACACTGATTTGGACAAACTGTCCTCTGATCTCTACAGGCATGCTGTGGCATGAGTACATTCTCAAGAATATTAACCCCCTAACACACAAAATAATTATATTTATGCCCTGGTGATCCAGTTGTGCACTAAATTAGTCAGGGCTATGATTCAGCATCCACTGGATACCCAGCCTTGTTCTAGACCCTGGAGGAAAGCCTCTCGGTCAAAGTTTGTTTGAGAAGAAACTTAAAAGAGGGAGCAAGCCTCTGAGGTCTCGGGAGAAGGATGTGAGAACATCTGCAAAGGGCCCAATGCAGACACAGGTATGGCAATGTCAAGGTGTCCAGAAGTTCATGTGTCTGAAGCCGTAGGTCTCTGGGCAGAAAGCACACACAATATAGCCCAAAATTTCGATATTTTTTTGCAGTTATTGCTGACTATTTGATGGGGGTCTACCCAGTTAGACGGCTCAGTAAAGACCTTGGGAGAAAGCCCACCCACCCCACAGAGGCAGAAACAGCTTTCTACTCCCACACTTATAAGTTTCCAGGAGGTCAAGGGTCACAAGAGATCTGAGGACAAACTCTAACAAGAAGGTCAATCCCCAAAACAAAAGGAATGACTGGGGGGGTGAGGGTTGGGGTGGGGGTGGCGGGTGGGGTGGGTGTTGGGTGAGGAAACACAAAACAGACAACAGAAGATCACAGTGTCTTCAGGAAGTGGATAGGCATTCTACCCACACCAGGCAGTTTAGGATAAGAACAGGGACTTGGGGGACAGAAAAGAATTCCTGAAAATGAAAATATAAAACACTGAATCACAAGAATAAAACTGAGCAAAGACTCCCAGCTTCATATATGTGTTATATATGAATGTACATGCATATGTGTGTAACACACACGGTATCCATCTAACAGTTCAGGACTGCTCACAATCATAGCTGACTAGCACAACAGGTTATAGGAAAAGAGACTTGATAAAGAAGAGAAAGAAAATATAGGCAGGGGCAGAAATCAATCCAGACATGTGTGTGTTCTTGAAAGAAGCGGGGACTGAGAAAAATAATCCTCAACCAAACATGTTTCTAGATAGAGAGAGCCAAATGCCTGGCACAACAGAGCAGATCTGGAAGACGTCAAAGCTGCCAGAACCCAGAGTGCCCAATGGGTCTCATCACAACTAATAAGATGCCTATTCCTCCATGTCAGGAATCTCCCCAGTATCCAACATCATTGAAATAGTTGTCAGGCACGGTGTCCCTTAACCATTCCTGGACATTAGACCATATACTTGTTGCACTGCCAGGCTGCTTAACACTCTCCCCACCAGCATCTTGCTAAAATGGGGCTGTAAACTGGGTTGATTCAAAGCTGTTTGCAGAGTTCAGAGCCTAGGGCAGAGGGCCCAGTTCAGTGCCTGGAACAGATAGCTCTCCAGATGCTAGCCTGATTCTACTCCACCACAGCACCTATCATGTTGGGTTATGACCAAATGCGGACTGGAACTGTACCTTTCCTGCTCAGCTTTGTGGCATTCAAGGCCCAGTGTGACCCTGGCAGAAGGTCCTCAGTCTACTCCCAGAGGAGGTCCGGCAGCTCCACTGCAAGGTAGAGGGAGTGGGCATCCGGGTGCAAACACTAACCCTCCTCTCCCCTATACTGAGCTGGGAGCATCTGCTGGGATTATTCCCACATTTTTAACTACACCGGAGGGCACAGAGGCCCAGGAGGGCTTGGGGGCGACAGTCTTTCTGAGGACTCCAGGCCAGTGCCTTTAGGCCAATCATTCCATGCCCTTCCTCAGCAAGCCCTGACCCTGGTTTACTTGGAGCTGTAGGCTGCGCACAATCGCACTCAGAAGATGCAAAGCTGGGGTCCAGATAATGAAGCCCAGAATCTTACCAAAAGAGGAGGGCGCTCGATCCACCCCCTGGTACCCACCTGGAGCCGCGCACGCAGGCGGCTGGCGCGGCAGCCTAGCCACAGGCCGAGGCCCAGGCCGAGTGCTGCGCCCAGTAGCACAGCGGGGACCAGCAGCGTGGGCGCCGCCTGCAGCTCCTCCCGGCCCAGCAGCAGCCGTGCATCGCTTGTGCAGGCCATGGGGGCTCGGGCGGATGACCCGCCGCATCCCGTCGCCCGCCAGCTCCGAGCCTCGGCGCCCTTCCCTGCTGCGCCCAAGCCGGGGGCGGAGCCTGGACCTGCGGCCCCAAACTTTCAGCCATTCCGGGCCCTACCGCACACTGAGCATGCGCAGCCGAGGTGCGCCTTCCAGCTAGAGGATCCAAATGTAGGAGGATGGGAGCATCCCTCCTCCGAGTCCTCGGAGCAGCAACTCCTCGGTCACGGAGCGCCCAGGCTGCCCTAAGTCCTGGCCTGGCAACCCTATTAAGCGCAGCACAGTTCCTAGGTTGCTGTTGACTTGTCCCATCCGACTCCCACGCTGCTCTTTGGGCTGGTAGGTCTTCTCTACGGGACAAGCAGCCACTGCCTCCACTCTTGATCGCTTGAACACTCCTTTTAATCCCTTATCTCCTGGAGAAAGAGTCTGTTTTGGGCCCTCTCTTCATTTTGTCATTCACCGTTACACGTGGGCAGGATGGGAGCCAATACTTCGGCCTCTTTAAAGATGGAAAAGGACAGAGGAGGTGACTTATCCAAGGTCTGACAGCTCAGAAGAAGTTGGCAGTGTCTGTCTGCTCACATCTATAGCTTCAGGTCACTCACCTGCTATAAAGACCTTCCTGTTTCCTCAGGGCATCTCTGGGAACATCTTCCTGGCAATAGCCTCATGAAGCAACTGTGTTTATGTGAATCCTCAGGCCTGAGCTTTAAAAACATACAATGCCAGGCAACAGCATACACCTGTGGTCCATGGGCCACTCAATTTGTATAGGAGGCAGAAGCAGACCGGCTTAAAAAAAATTAGATCCATTAAAAATGAACTCTGCTTGTGTTTTGCCCTCTAAAGTCACTTGTTAACACTGCCCCCAAGATACCGGGCAGTTTTCAAGGGTGCAGTACTTGGTGTGAGAGGCATGGCTAGGACACTCTCAGACCTGCAAAATCCTTCCCTGTCCAAGAAAGGGGTGTGTGTGTCACTGGAATTGTGAAGAAGCTGGTGCTCGGCTCCAGCTGGACAGCTCACAGAAGACCCTGTGACAGCAGGGAAGGCAAGCCATCAGAACCCAGAACTCTCCCAGCTCCTCCCTCTCGGGATACAGGAAAGCCCTTTGCCCAGGGCTTTCAGCCCCAGCTTCCCCATTGACCAAGTGATGGCTTCAGTGTTGAAGAGGAGGCTGGGTAGGTTCAGGGAGATCCCCCAAGACCCGATTGGGAAAGCAGGTGCTCCGCTGAAACTGGACTTAGTTGGACCCCACTGGAGGGGAGGGTCACCTTTTCTTTTTTGCCCCTACTTCTATTCCCCTGCCCCCGAGCTGTCTGTTAAGTGACCTTGGCTTTCTAATGCCTCTCAGGTTTCTAACCCCGCTGCAGTGGTCGGAAGAGACTGGGAATTCAGAAACTGGGAATTCAGTCAGCCATCTCTGGGAATTCTTAATGCAAAGTCTGAGCTGAGATCTAGAGAGCCAGTGGGTATTGGTAGGGACCCTTGTCACCCTCAGGGAAGAAGAGTGGCGGGTGATTTGGGGTGGGGCGCTAAGGCGCTGCGTGGCTCCCTCCCACGCGGCTCCAAACTCCAGATGCCTGTGTTCCAGAAAACTTTCCAGTCGGCTCTCACTGAGCATGCTCCGTGGCGGGGCGGGCCCGGGGT